AGAAGAAAGAGAGAGAGAAGAAAGGGGAGGGAGGAAGGAAGGAAAGGAAAGGAAGGAAGGAAGGAGGAGAAAGAGAGAGAGGGAGAGAAAGAAAAAAAAAAGAAAGAAGAAAGAGGAAGGAAGGGAGGGAGGGAGGGCGGGCAGGCGAACCATTCAATTATGTCATTCTGAAAATCCTCAGAAACTTCAAGGAGCTCTGAGATGTTCCCTTAAACCTTAGTGAAGGCAAATATATTGTGCTATGGTTTTTAACATGTGTCTAAACTTTAAGTTTCCAATTTCAGCTCAGATCCTTTTCCCTCCATGTGCCAGACACTGCTGGTTATAAAATGAGTAGTCATTCTTTCCTTATTTTTTACAAACAGAACTTTTATTTTGTTCAGGGCACCTAATGGAGCCATCTTAAAAATCCACATTTCCTACTCTGTTTGGAGATAGGGGTGGCCCCTAGAACAGTCATTGCTTAGAAATGAGACACAATGGCTGGAAAAGGAACAGCCATGTTGTGATCACAAAACAACCACATGACACACTGTAAGTGGTTAAGCAGAAAGATAGGAGTCTGGTTCCCCACTGGCAAACAGGATTCCCCCATAACCCTGGTCTGGCTACCATGAACTTCTCAGTACCTGAGAAAAGTAAAGAGTCATTTGCTTAAGCCTGATCACCTGTTTTCTGTGACAAACAGCTAAACACAATCTTAACTAACACTCTCCAGATTAAGCTTGTTTCATTTTTGTTGAAAAAGGCTGAGGGCCAGGCATGGTGGCTCACATCGTAATCCTAGCACTCTAGGAGGCCAAGGTGGGTAGATCGCTTGAGATCAGGAGTTCAATACCAGACTGAGCAAGAGCGAGACCCCATCCACTAAAAAAATAGAAAAACTAGCGGGACATAGTGGCACACGCCTGTAGCCCCAGCTCCTTCAGGAGACTGAGGCAGGAGGATCACTCAAGCCCGAGAGTTTGAGGGTACGTCATGATGCCATGGCACTCTACCCATGGCAACAGAATGAGACTCTGTCTCAAAAGATAAAAAATTAATTAATTAATTAAATTTTGAAAGGACCAGACAAATGCTGTTATAACTAGCTACACTATAATATGATCATGACTCAGCACAGCTGAAGTTCACTTACTACGTAACTATTAAGCCATGAATAGAGCATGAGCAGATGAAATCTGAAATCAAGGTTTTGCAGAATCCAGGAAGCCAACTGAAAAACCAATGAGTAGGCTCGGCGCCTATGGCTCAACCGGCTGAGGCGCCAGCCACGTACACCTAAGGTGGCGGGTTCGAGTCCCCAGCCCGGACCCGCCAAACAACGACGGCTGCAACCAAAAAATGGCCGGGCGTTGGTTGTGGCGGGCGCCTGTGGTCCCAGCTACTTGGGAGGCGGAGGCAGGAGACTCGCTTGAGCCCAGGAGTTGGAGGTTGCTGTGAGCTGTAATGCCACGGCACTCTGCCCAGGGGGACAGCTTGAGGCTCTGTCTCAAAAAAAAAAAAAAAAAAAGAAAAACCAATGAGTAAAATTATCACATCAAGAGGAAGAAATTCCCTGAAACCTTTATACTCAACTCCCCAATTCAACTGAGTATCAGAGTTAGTTTACAGGGTAAATGACAGGATTTTTACCAATCACGTATCTATAAAAGGCCATAAAACTTAACTGAAAATTAAAGCTATGGTAGTCTTAGTTCTTTTGTCACTGTGCATGTAAGCAGAATTACGTAACCCTAATGAGAGGAAGGACTAAGGCAATTACTCAAAGCATATATGAAAAGCAGAGAAAACTCCCTATTATCTAATAATAGTTTTTAAGTCATAGTATAGATAAGTAACAAAATTGTCCATTTAGCTTTCTTAGAGACTAATAATGCAACACTCATTATAGTTGTCTGGGGACAACAGGTTAATTCCCAGATCAATAAAAAATCACCATTTTGTTGGATCAAAATAATTTAACATTTGAAAATAATCTAAATTGTACAGAATAAAATGTATTGAGTTCTCATTAATCATCCCATTTTCTCACTTACCACATAAAAATGTAACACAGGTTGGGAAAATAAAATCTTCCAGTGACAATCAAACCGCAGAAATTCATAGATTAAACTGACAGCTTATTAACTTAATCATTTACAGTAACAGTATATGGGTTAATTTCCTTAGACTTCAGAAGAAAGACAAGAGAAATCATTCTGTATCTTTTAAGGTCGGCTACTAAAAATGTTTTGCATTACATGGTAAATAAACAGGCTAACTTACTACAAATGTAAAAGAAAGCCATAGAGACAGACAATTTCTAGCATAAACAATAATACAGAATTATGTTTTATTCAAAAACAAATGTATTCACCCTGATTTTGGTATCAGCTGAATATGCTTTTTCATCAGACAGCCCTGAACATATTCACATTTCATAAGTAACAAGACAAGAATATGAATCAGAACAGGGCACCCTCCTCTGTAGAAAACAGCTTTGTGTTATTCTAATTCTGCAAACAGTTGCCTATTTTTGCTCAGATGTAAAAGACCAGAGCAAGACACAAGAATAGACCACACCGCGCATAATTAGGGCTCACCTGCCACTGTCCTTGCTTTTTCACAGACAGCCTGGTTTGCAGTTCTTCCAAGTCTGTCCGAAGAGTAGGTCTAACAAACTCTCAAACTCTAAATCTAATATTCATAATCCCGCATATTATAGACTCCAATTATTTCATATTTCTGACAACAGGCAGATTTTGAATTTGTTCCAGCTGACTCCACCACTTACTCTACTCAACAGCTGGGATATATGATAACTTGGCAACCTGATAATATTCTAGATAAATGCAAACTCACACCGTAACCAAGGAACTTTGTCAGAAATAAATATCGAAACAGCCTCTCTTAAGTTCAAATGAGAACATACGATGTTCTGAACAATGCATGATTTCAGAAAATGAGCAATGGTACTTTGAAAGTTTAGCAAACTGACACTCCCTATTCAAAGCCTACAATTCTTTTCTGATTAGATCAGTCCCCACAGCAAGTCATCAGGATAATAAGCACTGGAGTGAAGTCATCGTATTGGATACTGATGGGAAATCATAACTAGCTTCAAAACACATCGGAAAACAATGAGTTTTCCAGTTCTCCAGCTCTTCACGTAATACACTGCCCAACACTCTTACTTTCCTTTCCAAGACTAAATGAAACGTATAACATCTATAAAACCCAGCACAAATTGATGAACTAAGCATTTCAAAATCACAAAGGAAATAAGGGAAATTCCCCTCACTTTTTCAGTGAAATCTGGACAGTATGTTTGAAGAAGTATATTTTTAAGAGCAATAATCATAATTCAGTTAGGATTAAAGTGAGGTGAGAAGCACAATGACCTTCAGATCTTTAATTTTCTTTTATTTCCAACAGCGAATAAAGACAAGCTTTAAACAATGTCTGCTCTCTCAAGACAAATCAAATCAGCACTTATCTATTTTCAGTCACCTGAAATCACGTTACTTAGGTAAAACTTGATGTGACAGATATTCATACAGCTATGAGTTTTTCAAAAGTATAAAACATACACATTAGAATTTTCACACCTTTTACTTTCCAACTTTATAGAGCACAGATGTTACTTCTTCAATAAGGGTTACTCGTCCATATTGCAATATTTCTCATGTTTAAAGTGTGGGAGACAATGAATTAAGAACCTTATTCTGGAAATGGAAAGATGGAGGTAAACATGAGTATATTACACACACACATCTTACAAATGTGCTTTAACCTAAAATATCATTGCACTTGCTCAGTGGCAGCATTATACACAATAGAGCCTTGGCACAAAGGAATTCTAATGTGCTGTTTACAAAATTCTTACACAGATTGCAAGGAGTTATAAAACATATTCTAGAAAAAGATAAAGCACAATTGTGGATGGATTTTGAGCTTTGGGGAGATTCAGAATTTTATTATTTAGTTCAAGATTTTATATTTCTACTTTCTTCTTATAGAAAACTACATGTATTTTTAACCATATAATCATGTTCAATATACAGAAACTGATTTACTGAACCCAAAGCAAAAATTTAAAGAGCTCTCTCCAAAACCATCTGAATCCAACCTATGAATATAGGCCCCTATTCACTATTATAGTAGTATAATAGTGGAAAATAATATAATAGTGGAGCTACCCTTGGGTGTCAAGTGTTTTAGGAGCCACAATAAAGAGACTGCATACACTTAAAACATATTTCACAAGACCAAAAGACTCTTAAGATGGAAAAATGCAATCTCTATTTCATTTTATTATTTTTCAGATTTCTACTTCATTTAACATTGTGTTTAACTATAAAGTCAATGTAAATATTAAATGTTAACATCAAGCTGGCAAAGAATTCCCTGAACATAAAGGATAGGCAGAAAAACATCACAAAATATATTTCTCTATGTTTAAATTTATAATAAACTCACTAGAGTCTTTCATCCATCATGCTATAAAATAATGTCTACAATACATCAGAATTGTAAAAAAAAGTCACAAACTTTTTTCACATACAAGATCGATCATCTTAAGAAAAATGATTTAGTGCTTTCGGCGTCGACACAGTCCATCTAAGAATCTTTTTATAGGGTTAACCAATACTCTGTGCCAAGCAGGAGCAGCAATGCCTTAGTAATCCCATGAAGAATTAATCGGTATCCACCCTCCCAGGAAGAATTATGATTATGCTAGTGCTTAAAAGCTTTTACAAGGCATAGAAAACGCAATGTACTTCTTGGAAACCACACCCCCCCCCTACTGCCCATCCAAGGGCATCTCTGGACTGTCACCCACCCCACCACCCTTTCTGTGTTAGGGGTACTGAATCCCATCCAGAAAGAACGTGATCCATTCCCAAGATTGGTCCAGACACCTGCTTACTTGTGCCCAAGCAGTGATGCCTCTGATTAAGAAAAGGTAACGGTTGGCTCCGGTTGGTGCGGAGCCAAGCCCCGGCGAGGAGACATACCTTTGTACCTCTCCAGGACATCCTCGTAGGCCTGGAGGTATTCCTGTTCCTCCACATACAGGTAAGCGGCAGGGGAGAGGTAGCCCGCCATGCCGAAGTTTATCTAAACGATGACTGGCCAATTCCCCTCTCCCCCGTAACCCCAGGACAGTATCGTAGTCAGCAAGACGCAGCCTTGGAAACTGAAAAGAGGAAGGAGCAGGCGGCTGGGGAAGAGCGCTGGAGCTGGAGACGCAGAGCAGGGGCGCGAGGGGGCGGCGGGCGCGGGGCCGGCGGAGGAAACGCCCAGGCCCCCTGGCGGGCCGCGGTGGGCGCCCGGCTCCCCGGAGCCCGAGTCCCTCTCGGGTTTCAGCAGCGGCAAATCTCGGCAAGAGCCGGGGCGGCGACAAGCAGCGCCGCGCCACGCGGAGAAGCTGGCAGCGCGGCGGGGGCGGGCGGGGGCCGGCGGGCGTCCGGACCCTCTGCGGCCGGCGTCGCCGCTGTCCCGGCCCCGCACAGGGCGCCTGATCGGGGCCCGGCTGAGGCCGCGGCGACGGCGGTGCGGGAGGACCGGCGCGCTGCCTCCGCCCGAGATGCTGCGCGGCGCATCTGCGGCATTTCCTGGCCGCCGCGCTGCAGACACTCGCCCGCGCCCCCGGAGAGAGGGAGGGAGGCGGAGGGAGGACGGAGGGAGGAGGAGCGCGCGGTCAGCGCCCCGGCTGGCGCGGCTCCGGCCTCGGCGCCGCCCGGCCCCTCCCTTCCAGGCCGAGCCGCCGCTCCCCGGGCCCCCCCTCCGGGCCCCCTCCCCGGGCCCGCCCACCCGGTGGATCGCTCGGCCAAGGACGCCCACCCCCGGACACTGGCAGCCCGGCCCCGGATCCCCATGGGCGAGGTTTCTATTTGGGACCCACAACAGGTGCCTGGGAAACAAAGCCGCAGATTGTGGCCACCGATGTGCGCGGCCCCTGCTTAGGGGACCGCGGCTTTCCCCGGGGAAGGGGTGATCCAGTGGAGTGTTGTAAATACTTTTTTCAACCCATCTTATAACATAGGACGACTCAGGTCACTCTGTGGCAGAACACGGCGGGGAGGGCATGGGGTCTTCGCCCAGGGGACAACCCGGGGACCGGGCGGAGCGGCCTCTGCAGGTGGCCTCGCGCATCAGGGCCTGACAGCCGGGCCACGCCTGCGCCTGCGCACCCGGCCTCCCGTGGCTGCCGGAGGACCAGCCCGCGGTCCCTCCCTGCTGCCCCCAAGAGCCGGCCTGAGCATCTGCTGCTCTGCTCCTGGGCGGGCCTGTCAGTTCACAACAGCCCCATATTACTCTGTCAATTCCCTCCTTCTCTCTATCATTCATTGCACACAGTACTAGCAACCATTAAATTGAGTAAAATAGGTAGTTCCTTAAATTTGGTGTACGTGTTTTACATACTAAAGTGAGTGAATGTAAGGGCCCATTGGAGGAACCAAGTGGTACCCAGGCACGTAAATGGATGTTTAAGAATAATGACAGAAGTCAGGCCGCCTCGGATATAATCCTGGCTCTTCCCTAACTCGGTGGCATGAACAAGTTAATGATCCTCTCTGAGACTCTCTTCATCAATAGAGATAACAGTGTCTAATTCATAAACTGCAGTAGTAAGGGCTATTTGTTAGCTGCTATTGCTACTATCATGACCTGGGTCAACTTCACCTCTTGTCCAAATCCTCCCTCCCTATTTCCTCTTTTCATATATACTGAACTTTTGCCCAATGATTTTTTTTCTTTTTTAGCATTGGGTGTTGTGAAATCTAAACTACTTTTTCATTAATGTTTAGAGGAGGATGAGCTTCTTTTGAAAAAAACTGACTTGAGTTGGAATTGGAACACTTACCTCCTCTTCAGATCATCTGTCTCTTCTATTCTGACCACTGATTTATAATCTGAGTTTGATCCTTGTCCCCCTAAGTTTTTAATATCACTAGCGTTTCTTGCATTTATGTGCCCATCAGTTCCAGAAGTAGCAAACAGGTATCATATGGGACACCTGAAATGAAAGGGTTAGCAAGGAGATCCCTAAGAGTCATTCCATTTATAGACCACATGGGTATAAAGGTATATAGGTCTTTCAAAACTGCCTTGTCTCCCTGGCAATAAGTAAGGTCATTGAGGGCAAGTCTGAATCTTCATCAGACACTGACACCCAATAGCAGCACCCAGTTTTACAAATATAGTCAGCACACATTTGTTGATTTTTATCTGTTTAAGGAGCCAGTCCAATGAGCACAGGCAGCATTGGAGGTTGTTTGTAAAAACAGCCTTTGCCTCATGATTTCTTGGAATGGTAATACTGTGTCAACATGCTATATAGTGTGTTCTACAGAGAAGCAGGAAAAGCCCAGCAGCCTTACCCTTTGGAGTTAAGAATGCCTGAATTTAAGATCGGAGCTCTACTACTTCCTAGTCCTATGTGGTAAGTTTCTCTTCCTCTAGCTGCAAATTCTGAACTGAAAAATGGAGAAAATCATGGTATCTACTTCACGGGGTTCTTGGAAGACCTAAATCAGATACCATATTAATGTTTAGAAAAGAGCAACCATGCACCGACCAGTTTGCAAAATGTTTTGCATTCACAACCATGATTCTTTGATAAAGACGCTGGAGCTAAGAAAATTCAGTAAATTTTCCAAGTAAACACAACTAGTTAGCGACACAGCAAGAATGAAAATCCAAGTTTGCCTGAGTTCAAAGCCTGACTCTGCTTTGATCCTTCAGTTCCAACTTCAAAGAATGGAGATAAGACAAAAACCCTTATTTCAAAATAGCATTATCACTGACAAACCAAGGTAATTTATGATTAAAAACCCAACTTTCAACATCCTGTAGCTTGGAACAGCAGATCCGTATGGTGTGTACATAAAAGCCATTTATCCAACGGATGTTACAAAACCCCTGGTCCTTACCTTCTGTCTTTGTGTTCTCAGACTGACCCTGAGAGACAGGGAGTGAACATACTAGTCTCATATTTTAATATGATGAAACTACAGTAAATGCAAAAGCACTTTTTAAAACACGAAGTGTCAGATGTGTGACACCAGCACTAACATGACTTTCTGAAAGCAAACCTAATTACATCACTGAACAGCTTAAAAATCTTTCAGTGGTTTTCCACCACTTAGAGCATAAATAGTCTAACTGCCTCAGTATTGTGCACAAGCACCTTTACAGTTTCTGATTCCCTCCCAAACCCCACGCTGAGCTACAGACAATACCAGCAGGTCCGATTTTAACAAGTCTCCCTACCTTTGTTCTTAGAGTGCCATCCCTCTGAAGTGGCCCAAATGGCACCTCTCTCAGAAGGCTATCAGGACCTTCCCAACCCTTCTTTATCCCCCCACATTAATTGGACTCTCCTCTGGGTTCTTTTAATATTATTAAGTAAGTGCTTATTGCCATTATGATTAATCTCTCACACCACATTGTGACTGTCTAACAACACATGCATTTATCACAATAGACTATGACTTTTTAAAGAAGAACTCTGTGCTAGTCTTTATCTGATTGTAGGTGCTCAATAAGTACTTGATAAATGCAGATAATTATCCCACAGACCATGCAGTCTTTTTGACTCCATGGACATTTTCGTGCAATCAATTCTATTTTTATGATCTTAAACGCAAACAAAAATAGTAAGCTTTCAGCTCTTTTATTAATAAGTAAAGCACACCACAGACACCCTCACACTTTTTCTGAACCTCACCCCATCTTTTACAAGAGATGAGTTGCAAAGATGGGGTGAGTTTCAGGGAGAGTTGAAAATGTATAATAAAATTAAAGTCAAAATTTTAATAGTATGCTGTCAAACTATCCATAGCACTAAATTCTCTTAGATATTAACATGTAACTCTTTTTTTTTTTTTTTGAGACAGAGTGTCACTATGTCACTGTAGGTAAGAGTACATCACAGCTCACAGCAACTCAAACTGTTCGGCTTAAGCAATTCTCTTGCCTCAGCGTCCCAAGTAGCTAGGACTACAGGTGCCCGCCACAACACCTGGCTATTTTGTTATTGTTCTTGTTGTTGCAGTTGTCATTATTGTTTAGCAGGCCTGGGTTCGAACCCACCTGCCTTGGTGTATGTGGCCAATGCCCTAACCACTGAGCGCTGGTGCCGAGCCAGTTAACCTATACTTTTATCACCACACTATAGTCAAGTGGTCAAGTTAATATATAATCTATCTGAATCTCATAATTTAGCTTCATTATAAATAAAATGGATTATTTGTGAACTAGCCCCCAAGTCAAGTCTTTCCTCCATGAATGTTTACTGTTTATGATTTTTGTAGCAAATAACCTATTTACCCTTATTTATTTAAAACACAATAGTATACTTCCATACTGTTTTATTTCATTTTGTTTCATTTTTGAAGAAATTAGCGTAATTTTAAAAATATGTAACTTTGGGGTCTTGAGTGCATCAACTGCCACCAACCTTATAGCTATCCCCACAAGACTAGTGAACACCTATAATAAATAGGAATAAACAGGACGTGGCCCCTGCTCTCAAGGAGCCCACAGTGCACTAATGTCATCAGCACCTGTGGGTATAGGACATCCTGTCAGAACCCCTGGACCTTCCCCACCTGTACCATAAACTGATGGTTCATACCACCAGCTTCTTAAGACTTTCTGCCTGGCAAAGTCTTTCCCAATTTAGATATCATTCCCCCTAACGAAAACCTACTCTGTCCTCGCCTACCCTTCACTACCAAAAGCAGAATAGCCAGTATGAAAACTCTGAGGGCAGAAGACCTTCCACCTTGCATAGGTAGCACAGGCATCCTATTTGATGTCCCAGGCCCCAATAACATGCACCTTCTTTCACCTATCTTCCCCTTGCTGGTGAGTCAACCATCTGGGTATAGGCAGTGTCACCTCCTCTTCCTTTAGCCTCAGGCCTGAGGGAGGGTTCTCAACAGAGCAAGGAGGCAGGCCTCAGTGACTAAACACTTTCCGGTACTCGAGGAGGGCAGGGAGGGTGGTCGGTGCCAGGTCTGCCTGGCTGTCCAAGGCTACCCTTGTCTCACTTGGCTCTGAAACAGTCTCTATTCTCCCTCCTCCCCTTTCTTGATCCAAGCCTCCTCCCTCCAAGGCCTGGGTGAGACTAGCCAGCATCTCACAACAGAAGCCATAAAAGTTCAAGGCTGTTGCCCTAGAAACCCTGACTGGAGAATGGCTGGCTAGGCCCTGCTTGTTTTTCCCTTAATCAGAAAATCCTGCTAGGGGGACACGAGCAGGGATCTCAGCTGCCTCGGTGGCTAGAATCTAGGCTGATTCCCTCCAGCCCCCTAGAAGGAAGAAAAAGTGGCAACTCTGCATAATAGTGGGAAGCAAAAGAAAGCAAAAGTGGGACCCCAAAAGTTAGGAGTGGGGGAGGGGGAAGGAAAGGAGGTCTGAACTGCTGGCTGCAAAAACCAACTCAAAAAACACCTGGCCTTTGGCCTTTACAAGTGAGTTCTCCAGAACATACTCCATCCTGCCCTGTTACCACTTCCAAAAGGAAAACATAATTACTAGAGAAGGTAAGAACCACCGCCCCAGGAAGTAACTCATACACAACACACATACACACAGACCACACGGCACTGCAG